TTAATTTTATCTATTTGTATATCTGATTTTTAATTTTTTTTTTAATTTAATATAATATAATATTATTTAATTTAATTTAATATAATTTAATACAAATTTTGAAAATATAATATAATATAATTGAATTGAATTTAATATAATATAATTTAATATAAATTTTGAATTTAATATAATATAATATTATTTAATATAAATTTTGAATATAATATAATATAATATTATGAGGGCAATCATGAAAATTACTTATTTATATCCCACAATATATTTTGTAAAACAAACATAGATAATATATATCCAATCTTATATATCAAGTCAACAAGTATGAATTGAGGATATATTATCCAATACATATATCTTATTCATTATATATCATGACTAAATCCTACATCATATTATATCCTCCATTTTATATCCAGTGAAACAAACAGGGCCTTAGAGTAACAATAGATATCATGAAAAAAATATCATGAAAATGATCATGAAAGATTCTCTACCGTTAGATTATACATACAAGAAAATACTACACACTAATCAAAGAATAAAAAAAATTTATGAAATATTTCATGATATTTTTTTCATAATTCCTACTGTTATCCGTGATTTAATAACAAAAAAATGAGAATGATTTAATAACAAGAAAATAAGAAAGTTCGGAAGCAAGCTCAAGACAAAAAGCATATATAATCAAGAAAATATAAAAACTAAGTGAACGACACAAAATTAAACAAACGATAATAGATCATATGGTAACAAATAAAATATAGAAACGAGTCAGCAACACAAAATTAAACAAATGATAATAGATCACGATAACCAAGAAAATAACAACACAATTAAACAAATAATAATAGATCGTGATGTTAACAAACCCAGAAAATATGAAAAAGCAATGAGTAGTATTAATTAAAACAAAAAGAGAGACAGAGCACAGAAATTCAAATGGAGAGCTTACTAGTCCATCACCATCCCCGCCGGTATTAGAGGTGGCGATGGACGGTGGCGGAGGCACCACCGCAATCCCATCAACGGCCAGTGACTTGTTCCTTGCACTGGAGATGAAAGCTTGGCGTACATGGAGGATTATGATGATGGATCGCCAACGATGACTGGGACCACTAGTACTAGCTGTACTATTATCACCACCATCTTTCACTAAGAGATGACTCTGAGATTCAAGATCAAAATGATCATCACCAGAGCTTTCCCTTGACATGTTATGATTAGATCAGAAAGAATAGGACCAAACACTGATGATGAGGAGGGGCACAAGAACTATGGGTTATGGACTGATGAAGGTGAGGAAGATTTTTTTTTTTTTTCTTTTTTTTTCGAAACCAGGGAATATGGAGCAAACAACAACACAAAACAGAAAACAAAACTACAACACGTAAAAGGTCGACCGTAAGGCGAAGCTTGAGGCGAGGGTGGAGCAGATATATAAATGAACTGCAACACGTAAAAAGTTAATGATCCCAAAACAAACAGTCCTACCAATACTAATCTTGTCTAATTTTAAACAAATATTACCTCATCTGGTATATGATTTTTTATTTAAAATGATAAATCTTACTATTTTTTAAATGTAACGAGTCTTATATATATATATATATACATCAAATGCATAAGAAGTGAAAATAAAATTATTTTTAAAATAATGTTATTTAATATTTATTATTAATTTTTCGAACAAACGAATACAATTTGTGCGATGATCTCACGCGGAGTGACGAAATTACCCGGAACGAGTTGGCGGAGTGACGAAATTACCCGGAACGAGTTGGTGGAGGCGTGTCATCTCGGGCATCTCTTTGTCGGCAATGGGTTAACGAATTCAACCCGGAAACGAGTTGGCGGAGTGACGAAATTACCCGAAACGAGTTGGCGGAGGCGTGTCATCTCGGCCTTCTCTTTGTCGGCAATGGGTTAACGAATTGCTTTCACACCTCTAAAGTTGGGAACTCCCAGACTTTTAAAATTATATGAATTAATCGTGTGTTTTTATTTTTTTTATTTTATTTTTTTCTTTTATTTTTGAATCAATTACAAATTGTATGAGAGGGTTTACCAACGTTGTTGGAAAATTTAAAAATCTTCGAAGATCTTTGAAGAAAATTCGAATTTTCTGAAATGATGAGAGGTTAGATTCTTCAATAACCACAACTAAGAACACAAAAGCAGAGATGATGGAGATAAGAGATTGGGTGAAAAATAAAACAAAGTTATTAAAGAGAGAATAATGGCAAGGCTCTCCCATAGATCTCTCACTTTCACTCTCAAGATTGATAATGAAGAAGGAAAATTAGTTTTTTCCCAAGAGTTGTCTCTCCGAAATCCATCCTTTGTAAAGCTATAGATGGATACTATTTATAGGCACCTCATGATGTAGGATGGAGCCTATGTGTAAGGCACATGAGGAATATTCTCTCTAACCACCTTGTTCGAGGAGGTGACCTCTCCGAAGATGAGGAAAACCCCGAAGATGAGATCAACCTCTTGGTGAACCTTCAACAAGTGTTAAACATGATCTCGGTTTAACTTCAACTTGTAAATTTTTTACAAATTTCAACAAGCGTTAAACATGATCTCGGTTTAACTTCAACTTGTAAATTTTTTGACGAATTTCAACAGGTGTTAAACATGATCTCAGTCTAACTTCAACTTGTAAATTTTTCTCAAATTTTAATAAGTGTTAAACATGATCTCGGTCTAACTTCAACTTGTAAATTTTTCACAAATTTCAACAAGTGTTAGACTGATTTTAGCTTGTATATTCTATCTTTCCAAGAACCATTTTCCAACTCTCTGTCCCCTAATGTGAACTTAAGTTCCACTTAGGTTCTCATTATGCATGTATTCCAGAAACATCATCAGCTATCTTATCAGTCACAAGTGTGAAAAATCAAGCTAAAACTTTATTTATTACTTTGGCTAACAACAAAGAACAAGAAAGTCTAATGGTAAAAAAATTTCAAATTGCAAGTATTCCAGGGCCTTGGCAACTTTTTGCCTTCATTATCTTCAAGTCGATATGCCTCATTACCCAATACCGAGATGATTCTATAGGGTCTCTCCTAATTCGGGCCAAGCTTGCCCTCTCTGGGATCCTTCTTGTTGCCGACGACTTTTCTCAAGACCTGGTCACCGACTTGAAACTCCCTTGGGTTGACCTTCTTATTATAAGCCCTGGCAAGCTACTGCTGGTATGCCACCAACTGAATTGCAGCTCTCTCTCTTCTTTCTTCTAGTAGATCCAGATCTCGGGCTAGTAATACATCATTAGTCCCATTCTCTACTCCTTGGGTTCTGATCCCTAGGATGCCGACTTTTAGAGGAATGACTGCTTCTGTGCCATAAGCCATGGCAAACGGAGATTCCCTAGTTGATCTTCTCGGCGTAGTTTGATATGCCCAGAGTACACTTGGCAGTTCATCCACCCACTTCCCCTTTGCTCCTTGCAGCCTCTTCTTAATCGCATCCAAGATGACTTTGTTGGATGCTTCTGCTTGTCCATTGCTTTGAAAAAAACTTGGGGTGGAAAAATAATTTTTGATTTTGAACTTTGCACGGAAGCTCTTGATTAGCTTACTGTCAAACTGTGTTCCATTGTCTGCAACTAGTGCTCTTGGGATCCCAAACCTAGTGATGATGTTCTTCCATATGAAGCTTTTCACATCCACATCTCGAATCTTGACAAGGGGTTCAGCTTCTATTCACTTTGTGAAGTAATCTGTTGCTACCAGCAGGTACTTCCTTTGCCCAGTTGCTTGGGGCAGTTTTTCAACAAGATCCATGCCCCATTGGGCAGACGGCCAAGGACTAGATACTGGGTTCAGGTCTGTTGCTGGTTGGTGTATCAGTGGTGCAAACCTTTGGCATTTTTCACACTTCTTGACATAGGCTTCTGCATCTTTCTGCATGTAGGGCCACCAATACCCCTAGGTAATGGTCTTATGAGCAAGTGATCTGCCCCCAACGTGGCTTCCACATATTTCTTCATGTATTTCGTACAAAAAATCTTCAACTTGTGAAAGATGTACACACCTCAAAAGGGGTCCAGTAAAGGATCTTCTGTAGAGATGTCCCTCTGCTATCAGACTAAATATTACCGATTTTAATCTGATCTTGTGTGCCTCTTTGTGATCATCTGGCAGTTTTCCTTCTTTCAGGAATGCTATTATTGTATCCATCCAGCTTGGTTTCATGTCCACACACATTGCTTCACGCTCTGTAGTCAATGGTTCGATGCTCGACCCCGACAAGTAGTCAACCATTATCGTCCTTGTCTTTCCAGGTTTTATGGCACTAGCCAGGTTGGCCAGGGTATCGGCGTGACTGTTATCATCTCGGCTAACCTGCTATAGTCGGCAATTCTGAAACAAGGCTACCAACCTGCCTACTTCCTTTGCGTATGCCGACATACGTTCATCTCGGGTTGCGAACTCGTCTGTTGTCTGGTTGACTATAAGCTGAGAGTCACAGAAGACTATCACCTCATCTGTTTCTACTGCTACTGCCAGTTTCAGTCCTGCAATCAGTGATTCATACTCTACTTCATTGTTTGAGGCCTTGAACCCCAAACGAATGGATTGTTTTAGTATCTGTCCATCTGGAGATACTAGTACTACTCTTGCCCCCGCTCCTTGTCAGTTTGAACGCCCATCAACAAACAGTCAAAAAGAGTCGTCGATGTAAATGCTGCAGGGTCTGAGTTTTTCTTCCTTCCTTTGTTCCGTTGCCTTCGGCTGGGCTCCTCTTTGTTCGTTTGGACATCATTCACCTCAGCTTACCGGAGCCCAATGTATGATGGCTCCTGGTGTGAACTCGGCCACGAAGTCGGCCAAGACTTAGCCTTTAATGGCCGTTCTGGGTCTATACGCCAGGTCATACTGGCCCAAGGCCACTGCCCATCTGGCTATTCTTCCCGTCAGATCTCCTTGCTGCAACAGGGACTTCAAAGGATGTTCAATTAGCACCACAATTTTGTGGGCTTGAAAGTAATGGTTCAACTTCTTTGAAGCCATTACTAAAGCCAGCGTTAACTTCTCCAAGGGTGAATACCTGGTTTCTGCATCAGCTAGGGTTTTGCTTACATAGTAAACAGCCCTTTGTTCCCCTTTTTCTTCTCGGATTACCACTGCACTTACCGCATGTTCCGAAACTGCTAAGTACAGGAACAGTTCCTCTCCAAGTTCTGGATTTGAGAGAACTAGAGCCGTGGTCAAATACCTCTTTAAGTCGGTCAAGGTGACTTCACATTCTTCTGTCTATAAGAAGTCTGTGGCCTTTTTTACTAAGCTAAAGAAGGGTTTGCATTTGTCAGAACTTCTACTTATGAACCTATTTAGGGCTGCAGCCCTTCCAGTCAACATCTGTACTTGCTTCACCGATGTTGGGCTTTTCAGTTCTAGGATGGCCTTGATCTGATTTGGGCTGGTCTCAATGTCCTTTCCGGTCACCAAGTATCCCATGAATTTACCAGATCTGACTCCAAATGCACACTTCGATGCATTGAGTCGGAGCCGATATGTTTTTAGGATGTCAAAGACTGCCTTTAAGTCTTCTAGATGGTCCTCAGGTTCCCTAGTCTTCACGACCATGTCATCGATGTATACCTTCACTGTTCGGCCAATTAGGTGTCTAAACATCTTGGTTACCAATCTCTGGTAAGTTGCTCCTGCATTTTTCAACCCAAAAGGCATCACTCCGTAGCAATACAGCCCCTTTGGGGTAATAAACGCAGTCTTCTCCTCGTCTGGGGGGTACATGGCTATCTGATGGTACCCTCTGTAGGCATCCAGGAAGTTCATTCTTCCATGCCCTGAAGTGGCATCCACCAGTTGGTCAATCTTGGGTAAAGGAAAACTGTCTTTGGGACAAGCCTTGTTTAGGCTAGTAAAGTCCACGCAGACCCTCCATTTACCATTCTTTTTCTTCACCACCACTGCATTCGATAGCCATGTCGGGTAATTTACCTCTCGAATGGCCTCTGGCCTCCAGAAGTCTGTCTACTTCCTCTCTATTGCCTCAACATGCATCAACGTCGGTCTTCTTGCCCGTTGGATTACAGGTTTTGCCGACCTGTCTACGTTCAGTTTATGGCAAGTGACCTTGGGGTCAATGCCTGGCATTTCGTAAGGCATCCATGCAAACACTTCGATGTTTACTTTCAAGAAAGCCTCTAGTTCTTTTTCCTCTTCTTCGGCTAAGCCCGAG